AACTTGAATTCATTCAGACCCATCTAAATCCCTCTGACTGTCCCTTTTGTTGTCTCCTTCCTCAATTTATCCCCTTCCTTATCCAAATAATCCTTATTAGGTGTCTGGTTGCAGCTTAACTTTTTTGTGAGGACTGAAGCAAAGTTGCTGTTGAGATGCTTGGCTTTTTTTGGATCTTCTCAGATTTGCCTTGGCCATTTAACAGTAGACCCACAGCATTTTTGGTCTTTCTTTTCTGTCCAATATACTTATAGACCCTTTTCTTACTGTCCTTGACCTCCCTTGCCAGATGCAGCTCTTTTTTTACCTTTGCCTTCCTGATTTTTGTCTTTGCAAGTTAGTAGACTACACTACACCATGTCACAAAAACTGGGCAAGGCCAAGGCATATGTAAATCTCTACTTAAGTATCTCATGTAATAAGCTGTTTTAACACCCTGTCACATTTCCAACAGTGATCTAGATGCTCTGAAGCTTTGAGGATCCAGGCCTAGGACCTATTGAAACAGAGAATCTGTTATACCATAGTCAGATCATGAAACAACAGGTAGAGTTTGAAAACTAGCTCTCAAATGGTGACTTAGCAGATTTCAAATTGAGTGGGTCATCACCACTTAAAATCCAGATGATAAATAATTGCAGGGAGCTGGAACTTAATCTTGCATTCAATCCTATTCAGTTATTCCTAGAGGCTTAAAGAGACTCAAGAGTCATAAACTGTTTGCACATGAAGCCCACAAGCTCCTGGAAGATGAGGAATACTGAACCAAACCTACAGGCAGCAACAGAGTTGGCCAACCACTAGGAAAGGTCAGATCTACAACTTTTTATACCGACACCAAATGAGCCCCCATCAGGTATGACCTTGACAACGAAGTGTGGGTCAAGCTGAACAGACTGAGATCTGGATACAGATACTTCAGAATCTTACTTTTATAAGATGAACATCTTGGACAGCCCCTTGTGTGAATGCAGTGTCCAACAAATAGCACAGCACTTCATCGAAAGCTGCAGTCTTTACAAATGCGCAGACAGGGTAGATGGAATCCACACACTGAGCGATGATAATACCAGACAGTGGCTCATAGATGTGGAAGTTGATATCTGATGCCATACGAAAGAATTCTTATGAGTGATCTTTACGTCTAACAACTACCATTCTAAAGGGAGTGGATATACGCTTGGGAGTAAAGATTACTTACATGAACAAAGTGAATGGATATAGTCCCCCACCATATAGTGTCCCAAATGTTTCTAATGACTGCTGATTACAAGAAAAAAGAATGAAGCATTGGCTCTAGGCAGCAGGAAGGGCAGAGGTTTGTTTAAGAAGTCATACCTAGATTACTAAAAAGTGCACATTTTAACCTTTCACTGTTCAAACATGCATCCATCATTGAACTCTTTTAGGCTTTGCTCATCAGGGGTACATATTGTATGTTGTAACTAACTTGCCTCTTGTTTGTTTTTCCCCCCACCTTATTATATAAGCTAGACCAACCTTCAAGGTACAAAGCAAGGAAAACATCAGGTGCTGAGCCAGGAGCAATATAATCTCTGCTGTGTTTATCCGCATTCATATTTTGCAGAGTTAGAAAGGTTGTTAGGACATGTTTGAACTGGTAATGCTAGAACAGAGCAAGAACCTATCAGCATGCCAAAGGAAATCCTCACTATTTTTTAACATGTAAAAGAATCAAATTTCTCTTAAAAGCTGTGTTTATCTCACTTTGCTGACGTGTATGTTTGTCTATGTCTGTGTGAGCCTCATGCAGCCTAAATTGTCTGATTCTTCTCCATATACTAAGATCCTGTTTATGAGGAGGATACCGGCACTTGAGCCTTTTCATCTTGAGGAAGCAGTTCGTTGTCTGTTACAAAAATAACTGCTGCAGGAATTGGGCTATATTTTTAGGACACAGGATGGATCAAGGACTAGACCTACAAATTCCTTATGGCTTGTTAGCTTCCTATTGCTCCACAAAGCTTTGGTTTTAAAAAGAGGAAATAAAAGACATTTAATGCTATTGCCTAAAATAAAGTGTTACGACACTTAGTGTCCCACTGCTGTGAATAATCCCCTTTTCTCCCCTAGTAAAACGTTCTTCAGATAGATTTAATATGGGGTGTGACTGATTGCACACTTTTTTGCCCTATGTGTTTCTACGTCAGTTCAGAAGGTCCTTATGACACATTCAGTAAACTGTAAGGGCCAGATTACAGAATCCATGTTGTGAGCATTTATGCATGGAACAAGTGTCCCTGAAGTCCCTTCTGTGTTCTAAAAGCTTTGAAATCTGGTCCCAAACTTAAAACAAACAAAAAACAAGAGAAGAAGCACTGCTAATACTAAAAATAAAAGGACACCAAATTTAGCCAGCTGATTTGAAGTCGGGCATTCAAAATATGCTGAAGTTCAGGCACTTTTTTAGAACTACTGAAACTTCTTGTGCCTGGAAACAAGAATTGGATGTCTCCCAAGAGCAGCCTTCTTTATTAGACCTCTGCTGCTGAGTAGTACCAACTAGGTTGTGATAAAAAAACTGCCTTTCTCATGGTGCTTCAGCACTTCTACTTCCAGAACTGGTTGAAATATGGAAAGCAGAAGTAGATAAAAATAAAACATAGCTGGGGAGAAAGAGAACGATAGTGACAACAAGCCACCACCCTTCAAAATCAGAGCCTTTGTTTTTCTAAAGGGCGGGCTATAACCTGGAATTGAAATGGATCTTTGAAAGTTAAATAGCTGCCCCTTGATGAAAACAACTGAGGGCTGGCCTTATCAGCAATCCATCCCTATTCAGCAAAGCACAGAAACTTGCTTAACTTTGAACATCTTCCCAAATTCTCTTGAGGTCCATGGAAGTCAAGTGCATGTGTAAAGTTAAGTATGTGCTTATATGCTTTGCTGCATGGCGCCTATGGATGGAGATGAAGAAAATTAAGTTAGTAACAACTTGCTCCATGAGCTCTTCTGGGCATCTCTTCAAATAAGTTAGTACAGTACTTACTTCTATGGACTTAATTTGCACCCCCAATACAAGTAATAATAACACATAGGAAGAAGCCACTCTCGTCTCTCAATCCTTAGATAATAGTTTGCGCAACACGGTTTTCTAGAGAAGGAATTTGGCAGTGTATTCAATCTGTCAATCCCTTGCTATGTAAACAATAGAAAGTTAAGCGATTTCTTTCAAATGAATCAGCAATTGTTCCACCCTCTAGGTAAGGAAGAATTGCATTCATTTATACTAGCCTCCTGAAGGTAAAGCCTTTACCAACCTTTGTTTAGAGGGGATTTTTGTTACATAATTCCCCTCTTACATTTTTTCAACTTCCCACTAAGCTTGTGAATTGTGTATCTAAGAAATGATTTTTTTGCTGGCTACAGACACATTCTATATTGTTAATTAGTTATGAGTGATCAGGCATAAACCTTGACTTGTAAGAAATTTCTGGAGCCATCTATTTAATGGCCTCAGATTACCATAACATCTTTTTTTTTTTTTTTTTTTTTAATAAGCTACTTCTAACAAATGGCCTTACATGGAGCAGAAAATAACAACTTCTTAGTGCACCTGTTTAATGAGGCTTTGGACTCTGCATCATCATGGTATTATGCAAGTACGGAAGTGAGGTCAAAATCTATTAGCTTAGTGGGTCAATATGGGTAGTTGCAAAGTGTTCATAGCAGTCTGGGAAAACTGTCTCTAAGTATTAAAGACCATGCTTTGGAGTTCTAACAATAGTATGCTATCCTGTTTTTTGTTTTTTTGTTTTTAATCTTTAAAAATAATTTAGATCAGATAATGTTAAATGTAAAGAATTTTGAAGAAATAGCATTTTTATGCGTTGAAAAGTGACTCTGTCCATATGACATTCTGGGCTTCTATGCTTATGATTTCCTAGTAATATGCTTAGTTTAAAGTCAAAGGCTACTCTATCTGCCAGACTTGCAAATGCAACCTAGATTTTTTTCTTCTGTTTTCTCCTGTGGTAAGGGATTTATAGTCCACAAGACCTCAGGGACACCTATGCAATTCTGATCCTTTTCACTGCATGTATTTCTTAAAACATTGTGCAAATGTGATTTAAATAGCATTTAATTGTTGCTTAAACTGGTTGTGGTCAGAAAAGTGAGTATGTAAAAATGACAACTCCTCATACAAAGATCTCCTTTCTATGGGTCTTCTGAGCTATATCTCTTCACTTTATTGATTTAAAACAAGTGTTCACTACTATTTATTCCTGTTAACACTGGCCAGTCATCACATCATATTTTACTTCACTGTAAAAGGATGTCACTGTTTAACAAACCCACACATTTTTACACATGTTTTCATCAAAGAGCTGAAGGTTTTCTTGGATTAATTATAGCAATACTTTACACTTGCATGACAGGGTTCATCCAGGAATCTCAAAGCATTTTCTATTGGAGATCTGAATACTATTATTTTTATTTACCAACTAGGGAAGCCAAGGCACAGCATGGTTAAGAGGCCCAACCAAGACTGCAGAAGAAGAGAGTGGCAGAGCAGGAGTCAACAGCAAGCTTTCTCCTGATTACTAGGTTTGTGCTCTTGCAGCAATATGTCACTCCTTGCAGATCATAGTTAAGACTGGGTGAACCTGTTGTTGTAATAAAATAAGAACTGGGACAAAAACTCTTGCCTCAGGCTTGAATGGAACAGAAACTTTTTTTGAGAATCAAAAACCATCATTAAACCATTTCTTTTCTTTTTATAAAATCTTCTCACGCTTCTGCACTTCCTGATTTTTAGGGTTGGGCAGGAACCAGAAAATAAATACTAAAATACCATGAGAGAGGTTACTCTTGTGGTATTTTCAACCAGATTGAAAGTGTGGTGTCCTCAAGAGAGAGCTTGTCCTAGCAACATTTCTAAACCAAAGAGGTTCATATAAATTCAAAGAAGTGCCAGTCACATTGGTTGTGAACTTCTGACTTGCTTTTGTAGAGTCTTACTTTTGAGAGGAACATAATTAGGGAACTGTTCAGTACATCAGATAACATTGGGGCCTAACACTCCTAAGTTTTTACTGAGGAACCTGTAGTTCCTTTTGATAATCTGGGGAAAGACAACATAATACATTATGGGGGATTGCTGACAGGAAAGCCAGTAGGGAA